TGGAACACCGAACTGAGCACTCCACGGTCCAAATGAGGAACAGAAAGATGAAGAAAATTAAAAAAGTAATCAGGACTGCGAGGGATGCGAGCACCCACTGATACAAGGGAACTGATATAATGAGAGTTCACCAAGGCCTGTTGGACTGGGACTGAACGAGGACGTGATCCAACCAGATTCTCTGAATGTGGCTGGCCCGGAGCCTTTTTGAAAAGCCATTGACAACGACACTGGGACTTGCTTCCTCTGCATATACTGGATTTTGGCGCTCCAGTCTGTTTAGACTCTCACCTTTCCTGGACCTGGAGGGAGGGGGGAGGAACTTGAACTTCCCACAGGGCAGGAAACCCTGACTGCTCTAGGGGATGGAGAGGGAGGAGGAGAGGGAGTGGGGGGAGTGGGAGGGTGTTGGGAGGAGGGGCTGAAATGGAAACTTTTATAATTTAATAAAAAAACAAAAACAAAAACAAAAAAAAAGCAAAAAATATCAAATGGAAAAAAGAAAGCATACTTAACAAGTTGTGCTGGCATAAATGGATATCAACATGTAGAAAAATGAAAACAGATCCATGTCTATCACCTTGCACAAAACTCAAGTCCAAATAGATCAAAGACCTCAATATAAAGCCAGCCACACTGAACCTTATAGAAGACAAAGTGGGAAGTACACTTGAACACATTGGCACAGGGAACCACTTCCTAAATAGAACCCCAGCAGCACAGACACTGAGAGAAACAATAAATGGGACCTCCTGAAACTGACAAGGTCAACAAGACAAAATGACAGCCTACAGAATGGGAAAAGATCTTCACTAACCCCACATCAGACAGAAGTCTGATATCCAAAATATACAAAGAACTCAGGAAATTGGACACCAAAAGATCACATAATCCAATAAAAAAAAATACAGACCTAAACAGAGAACTCTCAATAGAGGAATCTAAAATGGCTGAAAGACACTTAAGGAAATGTTCAACATCCTTAGTCATCAGAGAAATGAAAATCAAAACAACTCTGAGATTCCATCTTATACCTGTAAGAATGTCCAAGATCAAAAACACTGATGACAACTTATGCTGGAGATGTTTTGGGGAAAAGGGAACACTTCTGCATTGTTGGTGTGAATGCAAGCTGGTACAACCCCTTTGGATGTCAGTGTGGTGATTTTTCAGAAAATTAGGAAACAACCTTCCTCAAGACCCAGTAATACCACTTTTGGGTATATACCCAAAGGAAGCCCAATTGTGCCACAAGGACAGTGCTCAACTATGTTCATAGCAGCTTTATCTGTCACAACCAGAACCTGGAAACAACCTAAATTCCCCTCTATTGAAGAATAGATAAGAAAAATGTGGTACATTTACACAATGGAGTACTACACAGCAGAAAAAATAATGACAGCTTGAATTTTGCAGGAAAATGGATGGAGCTAGAAAACATTATTTTGAGTGAAGTAACCCAAACCCAGAAAGACAATTATCACATGTACTCACTCATAGGTAGCTTTTAAACATAAAGCAAAGAAAGTCAGCCTACAAACCATAATCCCAGAGAACTTAGACAACAATGTGGACACTAAGAGAAGCTTACATAGATAATCTACATGGAAAGTAGAAAATATAAAAAGACAAGATCTTCTGAATAAATTGGGAGCATAGGGACCTTGGGGGAGGACTAAAGGGGGGGTGGGAGAGGCAGGGAAGGGAGCAGAGAAAAATGTAGAGCTCAATAAATATCAATAAAAATATTTTAAAAATCAGAAAGCTGGCTATAGAGACTTAAAGACTGAGTGCTGGCTGCTGTCCCAGAGGACCCCAGTTTGGTTCCCAGCACCACTGTCAGGCAGCTTATGGCCAACTGTAACTCTAACTCCAGGGTATCCGACACCCTCTCTGGCTTTTGTGGACATACAGAAGTGGCATAAACTTATATGGTGCATGCTCATATAAACAGTCGTGCACGCATGCGCGCACACACACACACAAATAAAAATAAATCTTAAAGAAAAAAGAAAAAGATATTGACACAAATATACATGAAAAAATCATGAAATATATTATTTTGGGGGAGGGTAACTCCATAACACCAACTTCTTCAAAAATTATTATCATAAAATTAAATGTAAAATATAAACCTATAGAATGTTTAGGAAAAACAAGAAACATGGAGAGCCACAAGTACACCTTTGGATCCAGAAGATAGTGGACCAATGCTCTGTTTTGCAGCTCTGGGTGGGAGTGGCAGGCTCCTGAGTTACATGGTACTTTTTGTCCATGTGGTGCCGGAAGTACCCCTGGTTTCCTGTGCAAGGTTCTCAGTATGGTTCGAAAGACAGTCTGTGCCGTAGGACCTACTGGGTAAGGTAGGTCTGAGGGAAGAATTCAAAATTGACACCAAAGGACTGTTTCATGAAAGAAACACTGCTGAACTGGATCTCATCAAAATTAAAATCCCTTTCTTTATAAAAGATCTTGTGAAAATGATGGGGGGGGGGAAACCCTCGTCATCTGGAAGGAAACTTCAAAATTTACATAGTAAATTCCGGAATATGCAAAGAATTCTAAGCATAAAAGGAAAGCATCAAACAATCCCGTTGGAAAATGGGAGAGAGAGAGACAGCCAGATACTTTACTGAAATATGCCCATGGGATGTAGCAGAGGAAAACAAGACCATTACCTCCTACAGAAATGCACGTTTAAAGCCCTATGACATTTGTAACGATAAAATGCCATGGCACCAACAAATGCTGGTGTGGATAATAAAGGTGACTTAAAACTTAAACACTATATTGTTAACCTAGTAATTGCATTCAAGAGATAGAACACCCAAGTTCAAACCAAAAATAAACAAATATATGTATGAGTGGTTACAAAACTTTCTTCATTAAAGACGAGAGGGAAACAAACAGTCAAGTGTCCATCAATGGCCGAGTAGTGATATCCCTTCTAGGCTGTGGAATATTACGGGGGCGGGGGGGGACGTGCAGCAGGACAGGGGAACCGTGCATGCACAAAATAACCTTGGTGGGTGTCCAGAGAATTATCCTTCACACTAAAATCAACCTCAAAAGGTTACATACTATGTGATTCTATTCATAGAACACTCTTGAAATGATGCAGTTGCAGACACAGACATCAGCAGATGGCAGAATGGAGGAAGAGGGGAGAAGGGAGGGTGAGTGTTGGAGACAAAGGGCTAACAATTATGTTGTAGCCATCCATCCCTTGACTGTGGCAACGGTTACACAAGTGCACACATTTGTCAGAAGTTATAAGCCATGTTCTCACAGAAACATGCATGTAAAGGAGGCGGACTCAATGTGTCCAACAGATTAGATGAATGTTTATTTTCCTGTTGGGATATGAAACTATAGCATACAAAATGTAACTTTGGGAGGCAGTGAAAACAGTATATGAAAATTTTGTACTATCATTTCTTATAAACAAATGGTTTGAGTAAATGAGTGTTTGGTTTTTATCACCTTAATAAACAAACATTCTAAAGTTGGATGAAATGCTCACTCTGAGAAGCGAATTGGAAGTTTGTTTTATAAATAGACATTGATTTTCATTATAAAAATGTTGACAGTCTATGAAGAGTCACTTGCCAAGCTTTATCGAAATGTCAGTGTGTCTCTTGTATAGAAACAGTGGTTCTCAACCTTCCAAATGCTGCAACCTTTAATACAGTTCCTTATGCTGTGCTGACCCTCAAACACCAAATCATTTCCTTTGCTACTTTATAACTTTAATTTTGTTACTGTTGTGAATCATAATGTAAATATTCGTGCTTTCCGATGGCCTTAGGCAACCCCTGTAAAAGGGTTGTTCTGTCCCCAAAAGGGTAACGTCCCATGGGTTAAGAACTACTGGTTTAGAACAACCATCCCATTCTTGGAGCTGTACCCTTTAGAAGTGTGTGTGTGTGTGTGTGTGTGTGTGTGTGTGTGTGTGTGTGTGTGTTATGCCATATCTAGAGAAAAGCGAATCTGAGAACAGTATGTAATAACATGAGATTGGAAATGCACAGACGTCTGTTTTCAGGGACCATTGACTAAATTGTGATGAGACTTCATCTGCTATAGTATGGCTATGGGATATCTCCCAAAGACTCAGATGTTTAAGGTGTGGTCCTGAGCTGGTCGATCTACTAGGAGAGATGAACAATTTAGAGTCTAATGGGAGTATATAGACCCGAAGTGTCAGGCTATTGAAGAATATATGAACACCTAGTCCCTTCTCACACCATGGGGTGACCAGTTTTACTGCACACACTTAGCACACCAGGATGATTACAACTACAGACTATAAACTGAAGCCTCTAGAGTCAATGCCAAACAGCTTTTTCCTCCTTTTAAATTGTTAATCACAGGTTTTTCTATCACAATAATGGAAAACTCATGCACTACACACAAGCAAATACATAATACAAATAGGGAATGAGCAAACAGTGGAAACAGGTGGAGCAAGTATCTCGGGTATATATTTAGCTTCATAATATGCCCTATGGCTTAATAAATATTTCATTCTCGTGGTTCTGGAGGCTGGAAGGTTAGGGGCTGGGGTTGAGTTCTAGTGGCTTCCCAGGTTGCAAAAAGATACAAAGGAAACCAGTTCTCACATACATCTTTTAAGCATGGAGGGGGCCTACATCCAAAGGGACTCATCTCCAGAAACCTTGCAAATGAAGATATGAATGTGGGTAAGTCAAGTCACATTCAGCACAAAGCAATGCAGTTAAGATGGGGGGAAACTAAAGTTCAAAACAGCATGTAAAGTCAAGTAACAGTGTATAAAAGGGGAGAAGACATTGGCGAAAGTATTTGTCCTCAGTTGTGTTCATTTAATAAATACTGAAAAGACAATCACAAACTAGTCAGGAGACAGAGAAGAAAGGATAAACACCACTGAGTTGAAGCAAGAACTTTCTAGATGTATACACTTATGCCTTATAAAACTAATTAAAAACATGGCTTCCAACTTGCCTTATCTCACTCACCCCTTTCCACAGCTGAAGTCTACGGTCGAACCCAAGAAAAGATCAGTTGTGATTTCTACTTTCCCATTGACCAACTCGCCCGGGTTTCTGCACCGTTTCTCTGGAGGAAAATTAAGCTGGTGATTAGTGATTTGAAATACTCACAAGATATAAAATTAGGGGAAAGGGAGGACTTAGTTTTGGACATCGGTGTTGGGTTTTGTCATAGAACTAGAAACAGGGTAAGCAAACGACTCCGCTCTATCACTCTTAGGCATACACCCCACACACGTTTCTCTATTCCTGCAGAGATACATCCACAACCACATTCACTGTCTCTCTATGCACAGTAGCAAGGAAGTGGAATCAACCTTGACATCCATCAGCTGCTGAAAGGATAATGAAAGTGTGGTACCTATACACCACGGAACATCACCCAGTTGTAGAGAAAAGCAAAGTTACGAGATTTACAGTCAAACGTGTGGAACTGGGAAAATTCTTACTGAGTAAAGTTTGCCAAGTCTCCTCCCCTAAAAACAAAACATGTCTTCTCTCAAATGTATATGCTAGCTTCAAATCTGCTCTCATGTGTGTTTAGTGGAAGCCAGGAAACCAGAAACAGGCCACTGAGGGATGCATTTAGGCAGGATGATAGTAGAATATAGGTGATGAACAAAGGGGGAAATCATAGGGACAGAAAGGTCCCAGTGGCTAGTGAGTGATGGGAGTGGGGAAGTCAGGGAGAGGGTTAACCAAAGTGAAGAGTGTATGGAGAAATTACATGGGAAACTATGACCTTGCAACCCAAGTAAAAATATAATAAAAGAAAATAGTATAACACATGATAGGGAAAGAACAGGTATTCTGGGAGCAAATGGTTTAAGTGGAGATGGTGACCAGTGGGTGGAGGAAAGAAGGGCTATGAAGTAGGTTAATCATAACTAAGGATGTATGGAGAAGCCTTGCAAAACCCTACTAATTTGTAAGCGAGCATAACTTTAAAGGAGCTTAAACAGAATTACCCCAAGTGGGTGGACAATGCTGCTCCCAGAACACATGGGTTATTAGGTGAGCATCTCAACGCCAGGCTCAGGGAAACTTCCTGTGAGTTATAGGTTGGAAAATCCCAGAGGCGTACAAAACAATGAAGGTTCACCATAGCCATAGTAGGTAAGACCCTACTGCTGAAGATACCACACACATTGGCAACAGGATATAAAAGAAATAAATCTCCAATAAAGCAGGAAGCTTCTTCCCTGCTGGCTAGCTTTCAAGGTGCTGTACAGAGAAGACATTGCTGCTCTTTCCCAGCATTGGGCCTGTAGGACTGGCTTTGAAGTAGGCATGATTTGCCCACTGGTATAATAATAACATGCCTGTTATGGGGTAACCTAGATAAAGTGGATCTGAGGTCTGCTCTCCAAAAGAGAATTCATCCCTGGTATTGTAAACTTGGTTAAAAGTCCAAGGCTAGGAGAGGGTCCTAGGGTAAAACTTACTATTGTTTTTTTTGCTAAATGATCATGTTGTCAAACTGCTTTCTAAATATTTATGTTTATACCCATAAACCTGTGCTACTCTGAACTGTGATCAGAGGAGCTTTTTATTGAAGGGGGAAATGGTTAATACAGAGACTCGTAACTGTGTGAAGTATTGACAGTAAATGGGTGAGTGCTCGGCTGATGTGAGATGACCCTCTGGATGCTATGAATATGCTTTATTACCATTGGCTAATAAAGAAGCTGCTTTGTCATAGGGAAGGGCAGAATAGAACTAGGTGGGACAACTAAACTGATTGCTGGGAGAAAGAAGGCAGAGTCAGGGAAACACCATGTAGCTGCCAAAGGAGAAAGACACTAGAACCTTACTGGTAGGCCACAACATCATGGTGACACACAAACTCATAGAAATGAGTTAATTTAATATGTAAGAGCTGGCCAGAAATATACCTAAGCTATTGGCCAAACATTGCTGTAATTAATATAGTTTCTATGTGAATATTTGGGTCTGGGTGGTCAGGAAACAAACAGTCTCCATTTATGATATATGGAGCATTTATATCAACCTAAAACCCCACCCCTTAAAATTTAGCGGATGGTCAGGCAGTAATGGCACACACCTTTAATCCCAGCACTCGGGAGGCAGAAACAGGTAGATCTCTGTAAGTTCAAGACCATCCTGGTCTACAAGAGCTAGTTCCAAGATGGACTCCAACTCCAAAGCTATGGAGAAACACTGTCTTGAAAGAGACTTAGGGGACATTAGTAAAGAAACATCAGAAAGGATGTAGGAGCTTGAGGACAGGGAAGAGGATTGTGCAAGTCTATCTTCTGGACACGATAGCTATTGGACAAATGAACTCACCGCAGCTATGGTGACCAGGACAAGATCAAGCCAGTTGCCAGGTGGTGGTGGCGCACGCCTTTAATCCCAGCACTTGGCAGAGACAGGTGGATCTCTGTGAGTTTGAGGCCAGCCTGGTCTACAAGAGCTAGTTTCCAGGATTGGCTCCAAAGCTACAGAAAAACCTTGTCTTGAAAAACAAACAAACAAACCAAAAAACAAAACAAAAAAGATTAAAAGCCAGTTGAAAAATTCCAGTATGGAGTTGGGGAGTGGCTCTCTATGCCCCACCCTGACTGAGGTGGTTGATGGCTAGTGAGGCAAGGAGAACCATTTTACTCTGGGTGGTGTCCACTGGTAAGTTCTCATACACCAGTCCACGCCTCACATACGTGTACATACAGATACCTGGGCTCCATGGGTTATAGAAAGAATGGCATGAAGATGAGTGAGCTGTGAGGGGGGGAATGGGAACTCTAGAGAGGAACTGGAGTGCGTGGGACCAAGATGCAGGGTAGCCATGTACAAAACTTAGAGAATAAAATAAATGGAGAAGGCCACTTAATTAATTTCAACTTCTGTTTCCAGATAGCGCTGATGGTATATTCCAATGCTTGTTTCTTTCCCTGACTGACTGAATTGTTATTTTGAAGAAAAAATAAAAACAAATATATTGCCAGTTGTTATGAAATGCATTGAAAAGAAAAAAAAGTACTAGTTTAATTTGCTTTATTAAACCACTAATATAATGTAGAATATAACACATTTGGTGGGTTTTATACCTGAATATATACTTAAAATGTTTACCCTTATTCACAGTCAGAAGAAAATGGAAAATAGAATTTTAAATCCTTAGTGTTTTACAAATAGGATATGGAACACTCCCAACTTCCTTTTACCAAATAGTATAGTTAATGTTTATCTTTAAAAGTATTTATTTCGATCATTTCAGTAGTGTGTGTGTGTGTGTGTGTGTGTGTGTACGCATGCACGTGCACACACATGTGCGCATAGTGTACACAACAATGCATGTTGAGGCTAAAAGAAGATGGTGGAATGTCCTAGGAATTAGAGTTAGAGGTATTAACTGGGCACCAGGCTTGTTACACCGGTGCTGGGATCCACCCTGATCCTTTTGAAGGTTGTGCCATCTCTCCAGCCCCGGGCAATATTAATTTTTAATATAATTTTGTTCAAATGTTTTTTTTCCAACTTGAGGGATTTATTACATTTCTACAAGCACTTCCTGAGCAGAGTAAGTACAGGTGAGAATCCAGGTGGATACTCACTGACACAGAAGACGGCGTAGATCCACGAACCGTTTTCATCACAAGTAAGAAGGCTTGAATTGACTTTCCTGAAGCCATGGCGGCAGGCGTATTTCAGAATAGTTCCAGGGGAGAAGCTTGTCCCATACAACTGGTTGATTGGAGAAGCAAAGGGTAAACTGGGTGGAGGTCCACAATCACCTGGACCAAAATACAAGGGACACCACAAGCTGCATCTTGAGAGCCAGACCCTCGGCATTTGAGTAGTAATGTTTACAAAGCAAGGACCATGTTTCTTTTTCATCTTGACTCTCACTACCCCAAATCTCAAGGAACATAATAGATAATCACTGACGTGTGCTTTCCAACAATAATAATGATGACAATGAAGAAGGCATAGAAATTTCACCTACTCTTTCCTATTCAGTAGTATAAGTAAACTACTTATACTAAATTGTTTTTTCATTGTTTACATCTGCCTACTCAAAATACAGTCATCTATGTCATGCCAAATAATATTTTTTCTGACTTTGTAAGAATATATTTCATTATGCAAGATAAGCTGTCTCAGGAAGCAGAGATGAGAAGAAGTGTTTCATTTCTGTTCTCTTGGAGCTTTTGAATTTTGTATGAATCGTCTGCTTCTGAAATACTTTTCTAAATCATCACAATGTGAAGACTACATTAAATCCTTAGGCAAAAAATAGTCTTAATCCTACTACCCTAGTAAGAATTATTAAATAAAATGCTAAATACCTTTTACATGGCCCAGTGAAATTTTCTGTATTTATTCTATATAAATTGTCAATTAAACAGTGGGGAATTTTTGTGGTCAGACTGGCAGATAATATATATTTATTTCTGGTCATAATTGCTTTGAATTTAGATTATTTGTAGATCTAAATAAATATCAAAAGCACCTAATGAAACCATCTTTAGTCAGGATTATAGCAAATTTTCCTAAATCCCAAGACATCTAATATACCCTACAATGTAAAAAATGTGTTTCCACTAGACATTGCTTCTTAAGGCAGGTATGTGATGGAATCATGGTGTAGTGACATCTGGCTTGTCCTCCTCTCCCCCCACCATCCATTACTTACCAAGAACAGGAGCCATCAGAACCGTGGCCAAGGTCATTTGGAAGAGAATTGAATGAGAGGTTTTCCATAGCTCCAGGAAGGACCAAGCTGTCTTTATCCCTTTTCTGTTGAGGGCGGAGCTCTTGGTGAGTGGATGCGAAGCTCTTGGAGAGCACATGATCTGACGCCTTTCCAGTACGCTTCTACCAGGAAAACTCATAGTCATTGGTCTGACGCTTGTCATCAAGCACTGAAAATAACATAGGAACTGTCTTCAAAGGAATTGTAACTGAGTCTACAAGAAAACATATTGAATACAAATATTTACAACATATAGCAGCTTCTATTGGCAAAATATACCCCAGAAACTTACTCAGAAGACCAGTTAATTCTATATGGAGAGCTAAGTGTAGGGCTTCTGGAAGTGGCTCCCTATGTGGTAAGTGTTACTCTCAAATCTAAAGTGGTGGGTACAGAATACTTTATTTTAAAATGGAAACCAAGTATAGACATAGTAGTAACGGAAAAAAATTGGAGGCATCTCTAGGACAATGTGGTCATCACTTTGATGAGTTAGAAGGTAGAAATTTTAATAGGAAGGTGTTGGTTGTTTGTTAAAAACAGGGAGAGGCTGATTAGAAGTAGATTTGCCTGGGTTATCAGTCCCAAGATTTGGAGTTTGTCCTCAGTGAACAGACAAACCTTTCTGTTGTTTTTGAGTGACTGTTCTTTCCTGACATCACAATGGCATGTGTTTACAAGGTAGCATCAAAGAGAAAGAAGTGAGTGACAGGAAAGTTTACTTCAAACACATGTGCACTGAACATCAACACACCCATCTTATTGATAAATAATAATCAGCATCTTATTAATAAATTATTAATAAAATAAGAACTGCCTAATATTCAGGCACAGATAAGCCTCTCACAATGTTAGTGGACCATTTACCATTTCTCGCTAACGAACCATGGAGAAACATCAGAGCTAAATGACATTGTAGATAACAGAGATTTAATGGGCGTCTACAAAGTATGCCACTACCAGCCACAGGACATACATTGTTCTCAGAAGCCCATAAAATACTCTCTAATAAGCCCGGCGTGGTGGCACACACCTTTAATCCCTGCACACAAGAGGCAAAGGCAGGCAGATCTCTGTGAGTTCAAGGCTAGGCCAGCCAGTCTACAAGAGCTAGTTCCAGGACAGCTAGGGTTGTTACACAGAGAAGCCCAGTCTCAAAATATAAACAAGAAGGAAATGGATATCTAAAATTGCCTATATAAAAGCCAGAGATTATACATAAATAACTTGATGATATACTCATACATATTAATAAAACAGAACACACAAAACCTCAAATTAATAAGTGAAAAAAGTAATAAAGATAAGGGTAAACATTAAGAAAATAGAAATAAAAAGAACAATACAAAGATCAGCAATGTGGAGATGGCCAACCAGCTAGAGATAGGGAGGGAAGAGGAAGATTGAGAGAGACATAAACACCAAGAGGAAGAGATAAAACCCAAATTAACAAAATTAGAAATGAAAAAGCAAACATTACCAATGTGAAATTCAGAGGTTAATTGGACACACTTTGAAAACTTTAAAATACTGAAGAAGACACTACACTATGAAAAGATCTCACCTCTCATAGGTCAGCAGAATCAATATTGTGAGAATGGGAGATAAGCAACAAAATGGAAAATCTACAAAATATAGGTAACATTTCTATACATATCAGACCTACTGAATGATGAGAACATAAGTAATACAAGCAGACCTTAAGAGTAAAACTAATAAGAAGTCTCCCAACTGAAAAGAAGCATGGGCCTGAATGGTTTCTACCTTTATCCTTAAAGAAGCATTGACATCAGTGTTCCTCAAATTATACCATAAAATAGAAATGGAAAGGAAACTACAGAATTCATTTTACAGATCCAGTATTACAAAACCTGATAAAGAGATGTAGGGACAGAGGGTAAAATTATAGCTCAACCTCCCTGAAGAATGTGAACAAATAAATTCTCAATAAAAAACTTGAAATAACAATGACAGCTTACAATGGTCAATTTGTCTTTATTCCAAGGATGCAAGGGTAGTTCAACATACACAATTCAATAAATGTAAGGCAGAACATAAATTGACTTAAGTGCAGATGATGTAGGAGGGTCTTCTATCTATCTGTTGCTTTCATTGGTTAATTAACAAAGAAAACTGCTTGGCCTGATAGGTCAGAACATAGGAAGGTGGGGAAGACAGAACAAAATTGTGGGAGAAAGGAAGCAGAAACAGGCAGACGCCATGGAACCAGCCACCAGGTCAGACATGCTGAATCTTTCCCAGTAAGCCACCACCTCATGGTGCTACACAGATTATTAGAAATGGGTTAAAGAAGATGTGAGAGTTAGCCAGTAAGAGGCTAGAGCTAATGGGCCAGGTAGTGTTTAAAGGAATACAGTTTCCGTGTAATTATTTAGGGTAAAGCTAGTCAGGTGGCAGGCGGGAATGCAGCCTGCCATTACCTCTACATATAGAAATCACACAACTGTCTCACAGGTGCAGGAATAAAAAGCCACAATGAGTTCCACACACCTTCATGATAAAAGCCCCAAAGGGACTGAGAACAGAAAGAATATATCTCGACATATTAAAGGCTGTGTACAACAAACATATAGCCACATTTCACAACTGAGACCTTACTCTGTAACTCTGGACAAGACCAGGGCATCCACTTTCTCCACTCATATTCTTTAGAGCACTTGAAGAAATAAGAAAGAATAATATATTGCCAAAGCAATAATACAAGAAAAAGAAATTCAAATAATAGAAGTAATATTATCCCTATTTGTAGATGAGAGGAGCCTATAAGTAAGAGGCTTTGATGCTCCACCCAAAAGTTCTTAGACCTGATAAGCACTGCAGAAATGCCATTGGATACAGAATCAACATGGAACATCAGCATTTTTTGAATATCAAGAATGAATGTGCCAAGAGAATCAGGAAAACAATCCATTCACAGCAGTTTCAAAAGTACTTAGGGAAAAAACGCAAGCATGGAGGCAAAAATACTCTGATGAAAATTTTAGAACAGTAGAAAAATGGAAAAAATATTAGAAAATGGAAAGACTTTCAATACTCATGTCCCAACAGAGTAGAAATCCCCATCAAAATTCCAAAGACATTCCTCACAGAACAAAAATAATGGGAAAAAAAGTCCTAAAATCCATATGGGAGCACAAAAGGCTCCAGATAGTAAACAAACAATTGAGCAAAAAGAGCAACGCAAGATGCATCATAATATCTGATTTCAAATTATACTAGATAGCCACAGTCACAGAAACAGCATGGTGCTGGCACAAAAGCAGACATGCAAACCAAGGGAGCAGAATCAAAGACCCAGAGCCAATCCCTCTTACATACACTTACCAGATTCTCAACAAAGGAACAAACAAACAAACAAACAAACAAATACACCGAAGAGAAGACAACCTCTTCAATAAACAGTGCCGGGAAAACCAGACACCCATGTGTTAGAGGAATGAAACTAGTTTCCTCTGTCTCAGGCAACACAAAAGTCATTTCAGAATGAATTAAAGATTTTGTTTCAAGACAAGAAACTGACAACGCTAGAGGAAAGGTAAGAAAAAGGCCTCAGGGTATGGACGTGTTGCACAGATGTCTCACAACCTTAAAAAATAAAATAAAATTTTTAAAATGTCTTTTTGCAATATTAAGAATAAAGTACTTTTTTTTTGTTCCACCCTTGACAACATACACATAGCCTGTCTTTTAGATCTTAGCCTGCTTTAGCTTACTGTAGCAGTGTTTTTGGTGACTATTACCTGGCACTGGCATTTTTAAAAATTTATCTTAACCTAAACTATCTTGGAGATTTGTTATGCCCATTCTACGTGGTCACTTTTAATCAAGATGGTGATGAAATCATGTGGCATTTATTTTTTAACTTTAGTAAAATGGCGATCCAAAATTTAAAATGGAATTATGCCTTATGGGTTTTTTTTTTAAATTACCCATGCATAGATTTTAAGTAAATAAAACATGGGTCTAACAAGGGGAGATCCATAATACAATTTTAGAGCCAGCTTTTTAATTAAAAAAAGCATATAGCAGTTTTAACATTATCCATACCAAAAAGTCATCTGAATTTATGTTAACCCAAATTTAATAACCAGAGCTTAAAAGTCTCAGCTCCATGCTTACAAGAAAGCTTATATAGACAAACTTTTTAACAAAACAAGCACATTTAGTATTTGTATGTATGAGAAACCATAGCAAACATAGTTTACATCTCTTTTTTTCTTGCTTTTTAAACAATATATCAAAATCTCTCTTGCTTATTAAACAATATAAAAACTCTTAACAAAGTCTTTCTTGTGGTCTTTTTCAGTGGTATATGATGTATGGCTACAATATTTTAAACAAGAACAGAAACATGCATATCCTGTACTAGTATGAAACATTTGAGACCTACAGTAGTTTTTTATATATTTACATTAACCAGTAATAACTTGTAACCAGTCTCGATAAATGATGACAGATTTTTTTAACATATTGACCCATGGAGCCAAACCTAGGTCAGGTTTGACCAGAAGTTGAAGCATGCACCCCACAGGGTAGGCAGAGGGAACTCTTCCACCAGCATGGCGGGGGCAGGATGGTATGTAGCCCTGGGAGAGAAAAGATTGTTACCATCTCCAAGCTGTAGCAATTCACCCCAGATTCTCTATTTAGTGTTTGAAGTCCTATTGGGGTACATCTGCCCCCTACAACTGTGGCTGGCAGCCTTGCTACATAGCCCAGCCATTCATCCACACAAGCACACTGCCCCACAACCAGCAGCCTCGTGCTTGGGGTCAAGACTGACTCCTTTTTATGAAATATACCCCTATGCTTATGCACCTATCTCTAAAGTCCTGCAAGTGATCACAATACCAAAGTCAAATAAGTCATGATTTGAGTCTTTCAAGGTCAGTCTAAGTCAGGACAAAACAATACACAGACACACAGGACAAAGAACAGGACAATGGCACCAAACCAAACCAAAGAGACAGCTTCAAGCTGTTTTGTGGGTGTGACCCACCCCTCTATCACAATGAGACCCTGCTATCTGTGTGTCTCTACAGAGAAATGACCACCCATGTGTCTCCCCAAGGTGTGGGAGAATTGTCTGTATTCTGTCAATCATATTTTAAATAAATGCTGATTGGCCAGGCAGGAAGTATAGGAGGGAAAATCAGACAGGAAGTAGAGATGGAGCAAAGAGAATGGGAGTGT